AGGATATAAATGTGTATCAGTTCTTGCAGGCAGAGGGAAAACAGCTGTGAAAATTGTCCTGATTTGAGCGTTAATTGCTCAGGTGGCTCTTGGGTTTGTCTGCAATGACTGGGGCTGTTGGTTCAGGGTAACACAGGGCTTTTCTTTCTCTCTGACTTGCAAATATTTAACTTCAGAAGGCAGAAAATGTTTTAGTCGTTTCTCCAAAAAAAAAAAAAAAAAAAAAAAAAAGGCAAAAAAAAGCTATTTTATTTTCTGGCCAAGTAGCCAGGGAAAAACAGGTCCTTGACTTTGATAAATGCCTCTCCACCCTCATAATGCATTTTTGCATGCTTTTATTGCAGCTAAAAGAGTGTTTGGGAAGAGGTTTATTGTTTGAATCAGGATGAAACCATCATGTGTTTGGCAGTACTTTCTGCAGAGTATATTCAAGGTTTTTTTACTTATGTACAAAATCCTTCAAGTCATCTGGATTTTTTCCATGGACTGCACTCTGCTCAAGGTTTCAATTTGCCTTTGAATTGTAGGTTTGTCCTTGTCCTCTCTGGCAGCCCTGTGCTGCCATCCTGCAAAAGGGCTCAGGAAATGGCACTGGGCAAAGGTGCAAATTGGAGCCTCTTGGAAAGTCTGGAGCAGGAACAGGGTCTGATGGCTCCCGAGCACATTTGTAATGATAAACTGTGTCTTGTACTTTACTGTTCAGAGAGAGGGGGAGCAAAAACCCATGTCTGGATCGGAATTTTTTCAGCATTTGGGATGGCAGGTGAATTTTAAACAGAACCCAGCTGGAATATGGCCAGTCTGGAAAGAACAATTTGACAGTTTTCTCTTCCCTTTCCATTATGGTCCAAGCAGGAACAGCAGCAGGTGGAGAAAGTACCTTGAGTTTTGTTGGGGTGTTTGTGTGCCAGATTCTACCTAAGTCCTTAAGGCATTAAAGCACCTTTACTTTGCAAAGACAATGGAAATCCTCTCTTTTTTTTTTTTTTTTGTGCCTGAATGTTTTAAAAATGGAATTGTTTTCCAGTGGCATGGGAGAGCAGCATCTTTCACAGGGATACCACAGGGAATTTCTTCCCCCGGGGTGATGGGTCCTGGTGCCCGGGGTGCCCGTGGGGTGATGGGTGATGGGTGAGGAGTGGGCAGGGCTTGGTTCCCTGGTGTGCAGCGCCCAGGAGCCGCTCCAGGGTGTTCCCAGGCGGGTTTTTGGGAAGCAGTGGCTGCAGCATGAATCAGTGGCCCGGGGCAGTGCTCAGGCAGCGATAGAAGCGGGTTTTCCACGGAGGAGGATGCTGAGCCCCAGCTGCTGCCCGCACTGGCGCGGGTGATGCTCCCCATGATGCTGCCGATGATGCTCCCTGTGCGTGGGCGCCGGAGGAGCCGCAGCCCGGGAGGTGCCGGCCGGCTGGCTCAGCTCTGATTCACTTCCCCGACCCCCCTGCTGGGAACGAACCAGAGAAATGTCACTGCTTCCCACGGCAGAGCATGCTCATGCCATGCCACAGGCACCAGTTCAGGCTGCAGCTCACTGGGAATAAGGGGTTTTCCCAGGGCTGTGTATTAAGATTCTGGTCACAGCCCAGCTTTTGGGTTTTAGCAAAGATAAATGGCAATTGTGCCACCTCTTGTTGCCTGCAGTATTTTGGAGGCCTTTCTTCTCATAAATAGCCTTGTCTATCACTTCAAAGTGACACTGGAGCATCATTTGTGCTTTGAAACCCCAGACCAGCTCTTTTCTGTGAAAACTACACTAAACCAGCCACAAATCTCGTGCTTTACAGTTCCTCACTCACATTTAACCCGCTTTAGAGCGGAGCTTTCCCTTGGCAGCTGCAGATGAAATATGTTTCATCTGTGTCTGTTTTCTCCAGCACGAGGCACCCCCTGCAGCGGCGCCGAGTTGGGGCTTCCAGGGCACCCAGGGTGTTGCTCTTCTGCTTTGCAAAGCAGAGTCTGTCCCTCTGGGGGAAGCAGAGCAGCAGCTCAGCTCAACAGTCAATTTTTAACTCGTCCCTGGCTCCATGGTGTGCAAGGGAAGCTCGCCAGGGAGGTGTTGCCATTGACCCCGTCTCCCCGCACACAAACACGGCCGGGCGAGGGCTCTGCTTTGGACTCTGCTCGTGCCTTGTGTGCTGGATTTCACCAGAAACTGAAGGTCACAGTACTGGGTGTTCAGTACTGGGGAACATCCCCATCTCCTCCCGAACACCGTGGTCAGGAGTTCTGAGATGGGCTGTTGACTTGTTTCAACCCCACCTTTCCATGCACAGGATGGTTGCAAGAGCAGTTTTGGGGAGAGATGGGCGTTTGATGGGAAGACAGAGGGTGGGATCTCTGTGCTCTCTGCTGTCACTGACACCCTCTTTGCTCTGGGCTCTCTTTCCAGCACCCTGTGAATCGCTCCCCACCTTCCCCAGTCTGTCAAGCCAGAGTTTTTGCCAAAAGACTTCTCCTTATTTTCTGTCCTGGCTTTCTGTGGCTTCTCCCCAGGTGGCAGTGGTGGTGGGGAACCACTGGAGAGCTCTCCTCACGGCTGCTCAGGCTGGGGCTGGGTGGCCACCCCTCCAGTGTGCCTGCCCCAGGCAGGGCGTTGGACAAGCCAGATAAAATTAGCAGTTGGGACGCACGTTCCTCAGGATGCCGGGACAGAGGGACACCCAGTACAGCCAGTCTGCCTCACCGAGAAGAATTAATGGAAACGCCCGGCTCCTGGAGGGAGGAAATTCCTTGCACAGCCTTTTCCTCCGTTTGTTGCCTGGGGATGCTGACAATGGGCCCTGTCTGGCGGCCGGGCTGGCTCAGAGCGCAGCACATGCCACGACAGACACCGAGTCTGCGGCACCCGGCGCTCAGGAAGGGCCCGGCACCGACGGGTGACAGCACAGCTGGGTGACCTGCCCTCCCACACCCCCTCTGCACACAGCAGGGCAGGGCCCTGGAGCGCTGCACAGCACTGGCAGAGCTTGGCTTGGCCGTGTCCCCCCGGGCTGGGGGGCTCTGAGCCATCCTGGTGCAGCCCTGGGCAGGAGCAGAGCAGCAGCACCGTGAGTGTGAGGGCCCTGGGGTGACTGGACATTTGTACCTCAAACTCTCGCTGTCAAATGTTCCCTAAGAATTCATCACAGTTTTTTGTAACCCCGCTGTCAGACACCCTCCTGGAGCACAAACCTGCCAAAGCAGTGGACAGGCTGAGACCAGGGAAAACTGCCTTTTTCTTCTGCAAAAATTCAATAAACACGTAACTTCTTTACAAGTGGCCTTTTTTTTTTTCTTTTTTTTTTTTTTTTTAATCAGGGATGCCCCTTGAGCCAATAATTTCAATGTAACGAGACAAGAGAGACTATGAAGTCTCCAAATCACAGGATCTTATCAATCATGTTATGCATGTGTTGTGAGCGGGAATGTCTGGGCAATCCTAGGTCGTGCCAGCAGCAACCAGTTCAGTGGGTGTTGGTTTCAGTCTGCCACAATCGTGGCTTCTGTCCCATTCATGTCCCACAAGGAAAGACAGTTGGCAGGTGATGCCTGAGGCTGCCCGGGTTGTGGGGAGCGCTGGGGAGCTGTCTTTGCTTTTGGGGGCCAAAGAGTGACAAGGCCCTGGCACAGGGGGTGCATTGTGGACACCTCAAATGGTCCAGGGCAGGGGAGGGGGGAGCAAAGCCCCATCAGCAGAGCCAGGGCTGTGGGAAGCAGTGGGACAGCGTGGAGCTGATTTGGTCCCCACGGGGTGTTCTCAGAGCACCCTTGGCAGCAGGATTGTCAGGTCCCAGCAAGTAACGTGGGTTTGGGGGCTCTGTGTTTGGCTTTTACTGTGAGTGTTTGTTGCACAGGAAACAGCTCTGGTGGAAACCCCACCAGAGCAGGAGAAACTGCACTGCATCCCCAGAGGCAGGAGAGGCTGAGTGCAGGCAGGTCCGGGCTGTGGGCGGGCACTGAGTGGCCCTGTTTGGCCTTTTTTGGAAACAGCCCATTTGAGGCAGTTTGTGTCACTGTGACTGCTCTGTGGGGATGTGTCATTCGTGGGTGCAACAGCTGCAGTGAGTGTGGGACACTGCCCTGGGAGAGGTCGAATGCTGGAAAACTGACAACTTCCTCTGGAGCAAACCTGCTCTGGGGCAGATTCTTCTGAGCAAGGGCAGTTCTGAAAAGCCTTTGGAGGCTCTTTAAAACAGGTTCATCCCAAACCAGCTCTCTCTAGTCTTCTTGGGAGGGGGAATCCCCATGTGTCCCACTCCAGCTATAAATAATTACAATTGCCCATTCTATTAGGCAATGTAAAGGGTTATTTCTAGTCTCCCTGACTTATTGGCAATTTACACTTCTTACTGTAGGCAAAAAGACTGTAGCTGGGCTATCACTCTTCCAAGCTGCTCTATCTTTGTTGCTCTAAGCAGAGTCATGGGAATGTTTTTTTCTAACCCAGCCGGTTATTAGAGGACAGACTTATAAATAACCAGTCTTGGCTATTTTTAAGCATTTTCAGCATCGTCTATCATGATAGTACAGCACAACCTGCAGAAAAACTGTCCAATTTCGCTGTCAAAGCTTCATAACTCACTTCTGTTTTTTTGGATGGTGAGGAGCCAAGTCCAGGCTCCCACTCTGCCCTACAGGAGTGCCAAGGACCAACGAGCCATGCTGCCCACCCTGGCCCTGGTCTGTCATTTCCTAAACCTTCTTCCCTCCTTGCAGAAGGTGTCGTTCTCCTTTATTACAGAGAGGAAACTAACGCTGGAGTTGGTTTACAGCAAATTTGGTGAGGTATTTCTGGGGATGCTGTAGTCACCATAGCAACCATGGGCCAAACTGGTGCTGCCAGGTGGGATGGTGGAGCTGCAGGGAAGCCAGGGGCTGCTGCAGCTCCTGAGGACCGGCTGCCAAAGCCACACCAGGGCAAGGAAGGAGAGGTGCAGGCAGTCTGCTCCTAAACTCCCTAGGAAATGATCAAAAAAGTCTAAACCCCACCACTCCAGGAGAACTGAGCATTTCAGACAAGATAATTTATATTTACTTCATAATTTATTAATTTTCAGATTACTGTATGCAATAAATTATAGTCGATAGAATAATAACATTGTCATAAAATATTACCATGAAGTAAGTACTCATCTAATAGCAACCATAACCTGCACAGAGAAGAACTGGAGTTATTATATTTAGATTTTTAGTGTTAATGGGAAGTGAACAAAATATTAAGGAACTTCACAGTAAATTCAAGGAACTCTGTCATTATTATTGCTTCTGTGCAAATGACTTTTACTGCACACATACAGCTTAGGAAGGGAAGGTACAGTTGTGCAGAGTTACTCTGGAGCAAATGTGTTCCCTGATGGCTGGACTTGCTGCACCATGTGGGTTTGGAAGCACTCAACAAACGCAGAGTGACCGTGATCAGAGGCTGATGGGTCTCCAGAGCCTCCCACCAGCCACAGCAGGAGGCTCTGCTGGGGCTCAGCTTCAAGGAACCAGTGTGAGAAGGCGAAGCACACGGTGCAGTCAGTGAGCACCGAGTCCCTCAGCAGGTCCAGAGTCACTGGAGTGGGGGGGTTCCCCCATGGCTCAGTCCCACAGCTGCCTGGAGGAGCCTGGCTGTGTCCCCCTGGGAGATGCCCTCCTTCTGGGAGCCTCTGGCTGCCACGCTGCCATCCCCAGCAACGCTGATGCTGCCGTGGGTGCTGATGCTGCCGTGGGCACCGATTCTGCTGTCCACACCAGTGCTGCTGTCCACACCGATGCTGCTGTGGGCACTGATGCTGCCGTCCATACTGACACTGCTGTCCACACCGATGCTGCCATGGGCACTGATGCTGCCATGGGCACTGGATGCTGCCATGGGCACCGATGGTACCACGGGCACCGATGCCGCCCTGGGCGCGCAGTTTGCCGTGGGGCTGAAGCCCTGCGGGCAGTCAGTCTGTCAGGCCCCCGGTTCCACGGGGCAGTGGAGCACGCTGAGTGTGGCAGGAGGTCACAAACAGTCCCGTCCCCAAATGTTCTCCTCCATTTCTGCTCCCTTCGCCAGTTCAGTGAACTTTAATGAAGTATTTCCGAAAGGTCAGGAACTGGAGCAGTTTGTCTTTTCTCCTCTGCTTTAGTGCCATCAGCGCTCTCGTTTTCTCCTCCACGTCCTGGTCGGTGGCGAGGATTATCCTGGCTCTTTCCTCTGCCTTCTTGTCTCCGGAGTTTCTGAAGAGCTTCTGCAGGGACTCCTCGTTGATGCTCTCGAAGATGTTGGCCGCGGCTTTCTTGCGCAGGGCCGTGTCGAAGCGGTAGCCGTGGACCGAGGGGCTCACTCGCAGGGATGTGGACATGGCTGCAGTGCTGGAGCTTGTCTTTGCTTTCATCTATGTGGGTGCTGCCGGGTTTGCCCTGGGCTCCAGTCGGAGAGATGGGTGCTGTGCTGGCTCCAGGACTGGTATTTAAAGGCAGGCTGGAGGAAAAGCTGGAGGGCTCAGGTTACAGTGGTGAGATCACGATGATGTCAACATCCAACAGTCACAGGCGAGTTTAACAGTTAAGTTGCCAAATTATCCCCGTCCTGAAAACAAGACGGAAAGTTCTCCCTGCTTCTGCGACAGAAATGGCTTTTCTTTGACCCATCACAGAACAGGCTGTGAGACTGAACCAGCACGGCCCAAACTCCACTCCTGCCCTTGCTGCACGTGAAAGGCATCGCATGCAGAAAATAAATCATGCCATAAACATATAAAACTCCAGGCGAGAACTGTTGCAATACTTGCAAGAGGTGTTGGCTGGAGCCTGCACACACAAGCACTTGGCTCTCTGCCCATCAGTAACACCGCAAACCTGCTCCTCTCTGGGCATGGGGTCCTCCTTTCCCAGCAGATGCAGCTCAACTTTAGTGCACACACAGCTGCATTTTCTAATGGGAAATTGTTATCCCAAAGGCAGGGGCTGCCCAGGTTTTACACCCTCAGCTGACCAGCTGCACATGGCAGTGCTCTCAGGGGCAGCAGGAAAGTTCTGTTTGCTGCCCTGCTCCTGCCTCCAGTGTCCTTTTCCTTAAATTTCCAGCTCATCAGTGCTGGAAAGAAAACTCACCTCTGCTCCAAAAGAGTCTGTGCTCTCCACACCACCCTTGGCCAATGCCAAGCCCTTGGGCTGGGAGGACTCACTCTTAGTCATATTAGGTTAGTTTTTGGCAGCCCTGTGAGGAGCAGGGAGTTGGATTTCATGGCCCTCATGGGTCTCTTCCCACTCAAGATACACTGGGACAGGGCACGGCTGCCTGCAAGGGGCTGGCTCTGGCCACTGGAGCTCCTGCTGGGCTTAGACAGCTGGTGTTACTGAGCACAGCCAAATCCAGCCCAGAATAACTGCGGGTTCAAAAGTCACTTGAGGCCAGGAGCCAGAGATAAGTGTATTTTGGTTAATGTTTTAAAGCAGCCGGATGCTGCAGAGGTTGTGTTTGGAAAGTTAGCAGCTTGTTTACTGTTGTTGCTGACCCTGTTACTCACCCTTGCTGAAGGACTCCCGGAACAGCCTCTGTCCCCATCCCACTTGAACCAGGGGTTTCCCTTATTTACCGGAGAGCTGAGGAGGTGACCTCTGACCACAGCGAAGAGCAGATCCAAAGGAACATCACCCAGATGCTTTTCGTTCCACATTGCCTTTAAAACTTCTGTTGCCTCGGGCAGAGAGAGGGGATATGTCTGAGCCCCAGCAAACCCCCTCTCCAATGGCCAGAGGAAGCCAGGGGAGAGGTAAGAGCACCTGAAGCCCATGTGCAGGTGTTTGTGCTGGCTGAGAGCAGAGAAGGGCATTACCTGTGAGCTGCTGCTCACCAGGGGACCTGCAGAGTGGGGCAGGTGGCTGGGCCCCAGAATGACTGGCAACCACAGTTCCATCCAGGTCCTCCTGCAGCTGACCAGGGCTTGCCAGGCTTTTATCCTTAGGGGAGGGAATGGGCTCATTTCGGTGTCTCACCACTTTCCTACCTGGGACTTGGGACTCATCCGTTGGTGCTGGGCACGCCCAGGCACAGCCCTGTGCCCTGCACCCGCCCCATCCCGCCAGAGCGTGGGCTTCCCCACCACTGCCAGGACTTTGGTCCGTGCCGTTGCTCCAGCACGAGCTCCCTCTGCACGTGCCATTGCTTCCCGCTGGTCCTGTCATTGTGTGAGTTACTTTTTATGAGTCTGCCCCAATTTCTGCTGTACGTGCAGGCTGTTCCATGCTTCAGTGGATAAACAACAGCTTTGCAAACCCCTGGGATTCTCCTTTCGCCAGCCAGACGTGCAACCTCTCACCTTGCCGTGGTCTTGCTGAATTGGTGAGAATTACACTCAGGCACCTGTTTGCTCAGTGTTTGCAGGGCTGGTAAATTCACCCTGAAAATAAGATGTTTTTGATGTGGCTGGGTCTCTACCTGGGAAAGACCTTCATGGTTTATAGACTCTGTTAGTGTAGATGCGAGAGGGGAGCAGAAGGGAGCAGGGCCACGTGCATTACCCGTCCCCGCCTGCTCAGAGCTGCCCAGAGTGCTCTGGGAGGGTGAAACCTGCCTGCAACACGGATCTGGCTGATATGCTGAAGGTACTTTGCTTCACTGGACAGATAACGCAGTGTCAGGGTTCTTAGGGCAAAAAACAGCACCAGGAGATCAGCCAAGATCTGTTGGCTCTAGAAAACAAACCCTTTTGTGTCCCCGGGTTGAAAACAAGAGCTGAGGCGTGTTCACGTGTGCCTGGTTGTCACCACTCCCACTGCACATGGAATCGCTCTGCAGGTATTTGCAGAGACGTGGCTGAGAGCATAAATTAGCAATATCTGTGGAAGATACAAGCTCAGAACAGTATCTGCCATGGAAACCAAGACTAAAGCTGAGACTTTAGGAGTAAGACATCAGAAAACTGCCAAGATCAAGCATGCATTTCCTTGTGAGCTCATCTCACACGGAGCAGTAACAAATGTCTTTGCCCCTTCATGCTTCTCTGCCCACTTTGTATAAATTTAGTTGTGCTTGGCTCTGATGGAGTGATGAAGCATGCCTCGTCTGTTTTTTTCCAGTAATTTTTGTTTATATCAGTCTTTTAATACTCCTTCCCCGTAGTGCTTAGGAGGAATTATTCATGTGTTGGATTGGAGCAAAACTTCAGAGATGCGATTTCTATCATCGTTCTCCCGCTATCGCTGTGTAATTGCTTTGTGAGACGCAAACGCTCCATTTCACCCGTTAATGGGAGGATTAATTCCCAACCCCAGCGTCTGCAGAGCGGTGCAGTCACGTCCCTCACCGTGCTCTGCTTCTCCCTGCGAGATGGGCTGGGGGCACTCTGGGCACAGGCACTCCGCTGCTGAGGGGCTGGGCAGGATTGTGCTGAGCTTTGGGGCACAGGGTCCCTTCCAGGACAGCTGCAGGGCCCCTGGCACAGCACCCCACGGGCTCCTGTCCCAGATGGTGGCCACAAAAGTTTTGACACTGAAGCACTTATGATTTATGGTTTACTGAAGCAAACCCCTGGGGCTCACAGTCAAAGCCAGCCAGTGCTGGAGGGAAGGGTTTGGGAGGGATGGGGACTCTGCAGCTGGGTTGGTGCTCTCAGGTGATGCAAAGACTGATTATATGGACCCAGAGGCTTCTCCCACTCCAAGCTGCAAATTACACGAGGATCTCGCCCGCCCCAACTGCGCCCACGTGGAGGAGAGGGGAGGGCAAAGCAGGGCACTCACCAGGCCAAACACCACGGCAGGGGCTTCTGCAAAGCCCCCAGCCCCTGCAGGGAGCCAGCAGCCCCAGGGCAGGAAGTGGAAGGGAGTGGGGGCTGCTCTGATCACAGCCAGTGCCTGTCCCACAGACTCACAGAGAACTCACTCTCCCTTTATGTAACTTCCAAAACCACTCCAAAGAAGGTAATCTGGGATGGCTGTGCAGTTCCTTGGGGCATGTTTTGCATAGCTTTCCCTTCACTAGGCTCTGCTGAAGCTTGCATGGCCTGTGAAACCCTATTGGGATCAGAGGATGCAGCACCCCCCATGGAGCATCAGTGCTACCCATACCTTCCCAGCCACACAGGGTATTCAGGAACTGGGGCTTTGGAAGGGCATGTGGGAGGCTCTGGAACCAGCCAGGAAATTATTGCCTTCAAATATACATATATGTATGTGTGTGTGTTTTTCAGTGAAAATCTAAGAATGGGAAATGCCCAGGAGCCTCCAGCCAGCTCTGCTCTTCCCCCCTGGTCTGGAACCCTGGTTCCTCACAACCTTCGAGCCTGCAGCTGGGGAATCCCAGCCCTCCCCTGGGGACAGAAATCCTGCTCCTTGTGTGTGCTCTCTGCTGGGAAAGGTTTCCAAGATGGAAAGGTTTCCTAGATGGAATGCTCTGCAGAGACTGCTGTAGCATGGCTTTAAGGTCAAAGAGGAACCAGTTCATTGTGTTCCTCTTGGAATCCAAATTCCTGGGAGGTTGTCAGACATCCAGGTCGTGCGAATGGCAGTGCCTGCCCTGGCTCCAACCTGCCTACAGTGTCTTCCAACTGGAACTCGAGTGCCTCTGGGACTCCACCTGGGATTTCTGTTTGTTTGGCTGTTGCTTGGGTTTTTCTGTGGTTGTTGTTTCTTTGGTAGAGCATCTGGGAACACTTCTCCAAATCTCACGGCAGGACACTGTGCCCTTTGCTCACAAAACCCAAGAGCTTAACTTGGCCATCTGTGTCCCCTGTGACTCCTCTTGTGGTCCCCACTTCAGAGGTGCAGGACAGGGGGATGCATTTGTCCCCACTTCAGAGCTGCAGGACAGGGCAGGTATTTTAAGGGCATTTCTGCTGCAGTTCAGCTGCTGGAAAGCATAGGCATGACTCAGACAATCCTCACACAGCTCCCTGCCACAAAACAGGGAAAACTGATGGGTTTTTAGACAACAGAAGGCATGACTGCACAATCAAGCCAGCTAAATTCCAACAGATAAGTTTTTAGCAGGGAAAAAACTCAGGACTGGCCTAAGTGAGGGGAATGCAGCCCTGGAGCTGTGCAGAGCAGCCCCTGCACTGGCCAAGGAGTGGTCAGGGCTGGGTGAGCGCTGGGTGAGCCGAGCATCGCTCTCTGCCGGGAGACCATATAAGAGTAAAGCCTGTGGTGCTGCTGATAATGAATGTCTGCTCATTTCTCATAAATTCTCTGCTAAATGTACGATCACCAAGTTAATAATGCAGTGCAGGACATAATGAATAGCCAGTTACAGTAAGTAAATCATGGCTGGTAAGAAACAGAACAGAAACAGAAACTTCTGGCACTTTTACCAGGCAGAACCTCTTGGAAGGAGAGCTGCATCCAGTAAAGGAGAGCTGAGGACATGTCTGGGGTGGACCACAGGCCACTTACTGGCACAGGGAGCTGGAGGGGCTGGGTGGGAGGGGAGGG